TGCAATTCACGCTTTACTAATGCTCGGTGAGGTTTGACCAACAATTTGTCCCGTAACCACCCACTACAGCACGCCTCAACCGAACATGATAAAAAGTTTCTTTCTTTATCATAAGTGTAGTCTAACCACTTGATGATCCTCTAAAAAGGACAACGACTGAAATTGCTTTATAAGGGAGTAAACTAGAAAATACTAAGAAATGTCCCGTAACCACCTTTGTCCCGTAACCGTTTTCTTTTGGTTTTTTTTTGTAACTTTAACGTAACACGCGTGAACAAAGCCAAATTTTTAGTATAAAGGTTTTACAATGTGGAGAGTTTATGCATGTGCATATACAGCGTTCAAATGGGTGAAAAAAGGGTTTCTGGAAATCCAGGGTCTTCAGAAAACTAGCAATACTGGAAGTTTTGTGAACCATTTCTGAGTATGCCGGTAGATAGAGCACACTTTATAATCTATAATTATGTACTTTTAGAGTAGTACCAGTTATTTATACATGAAAATCAACAGAGGAGAGCTTATCTCCGTGCATTCAAAATCCACGGTATTTTGAAAATCCAGGACACAGAGAAGTGGTAGTTTGCAAACTTGCTTTTTCTGGTACTACTAGGTACCCACTATCGACATATGATATTCAATTGCCCAAGCCTTTGCTTTTTCTTGTGGTCAAATTTTTGAACATAAACGGTACTATTTTTATCAGAATCACTCATATATCCAAAAACAATGCTGTATACGAACGAGAATTACTAAACACGTTTTTCTATATATTTTTCTTTTCTTTCTTTGCTTTAACAGTACGAGACTATAAATTACACAGCGTCATGGCAGAAAGCAGAAAACACTGTACTACTATTTTCGATGAAAAAGACATATGTTTGAAAATAGAAGAGTGAATCGTAACCGAAGAAACTCTCCTGATTTATTTTCTAGTGGCAAGACCCGAATAAAACCCGAAATTTTTTTTCCTTTGCCCCGACCCGAATCAATATTTTTTATCTTAACCCGAACCCGACCTGAACCAATATTTTTTACAGTGACCCGAACCCGACCCATTTCGGTAATCTAAGGTTAATTACATATTAATGTGAACTATCTAGACATTTGACACCTCACACTTGTATTTAAGATAGTCCTTGACCTTTGTTAGTATCCAAAACATCCTGGAAACATTTTATAACCCATATAATCTCTGTCAATAAAGTCTTCGTACAAAATATTCGCTCATTTTCCGGCCACTCAAAAGAACTAGTCAGAGTCGAATGCAGCTAGTAGGACTCAGAATTTTATGCTCTTTCGGAATATGGGTTCAGAAATTGTGTGTCTATTTTTGTTCCAGAGTAGCGAGGGAATCTTTGAAAGGCCTAAAAAATTAGTTTGGACAGCGAACCAACAGGTTTTTGCTAATTTTGTAAGTCCCTTTGTCAGGATTGTTCCTCCTATGCTTGTAAGAAAACGGAGGTTGAAAACAGAAATAAGATCGACTTCGACATCTAATTATTAAGGACTTACGGCAGGTTCCATTTTTTTTTTTTTATTATTATTTATTGTAGTAGGGAAAAACTAAGGATACAAAAAAAGCGTTTCTCGTGTGGACGTCAATTGAAGAATATGGTAACACTTCATACCGGTTGAGAATAGCTTTCAGCTATCTAAAAAAAATATAAAGAATATTGACGAAAAATGTTGTGAGTGTAATTTTGCGTATGCCTAATGTAGACCTTGTCTTTGCTGCTTTAGTAAGAGTTCGATAAGTTTTGTGCGAAAGAGACAGGATATGAGAGCGTTCCGATTAAATGACTCACTTTGAGATGTCAGAAAGCATTGAAAAGGTCAATGCACTTGGTACCGTCTGTTTAATAACTGGATTCTCTACACGATGTGAGAAAATTCAATAGCTTAAGAAGAAATTTTAACGACCAGAACAACTTTTATCAGACTCATCAAGCCGTTTCAGATTCTTGAACTTTTTTCGAAAGGTTGACTTCGAATGTCAGTCATTTGACGTAGACTTCGTACTAGGAGCGATGCTCTTTCGAAACAGAAAAAGATTCATCTCGCTACCGCGTTGGAAACAGACCGAATGTGCGCATTCCTGGCATTTTATCCTCTTTTTATGGAATTTGTACTACATTTACAAGAGCCTTCTTTCTGCAAATAAAAGCGTGACAGAATCAACTGCACTTCTATAAACTGACCTAAAAAACCACAATTTTCGAGGTAGCGCCGGTGAGTAGCAACCGGTTCATTTTGTTTATTTTCAAGTGTGAGTAATAAATAATGGCGAGAAAAAGAAAACAAATGATTTTTCTTTCCACTCTGTTCTACCGGTTGACAGAACATAGGTAGAAATGAAAGCCAGTCACTTTTGAACTCTACCGTTTTTGCTTGTTCTGCTATAGATGACAGTTAGAGCTTTTTTCAGAAAATTATTTGATTTAATCAGGATTTTTCGGAGAATTGTGATCCAACAAAAAAAACCATGATTTTGATAAGGGCCGAGTAATCTAAGCGTTTTAATGGTCGATTTATACTGAGAAGTTGGTTTTTTCCAACCGTGTAAATACTCTGTAGATTTCTTTACCTTTTTTTAAATAAATCGTTGAAACCTTACTTCAAAATGTAATCGTTACAGAACATGCAAAGATCTAGAGTCTTTGTTTTCATGAAAGGCCAATGACAAGTTTAATTTCTCTATCTGTCTCTCATCCCCAACCACGAAAATAGGACTCCTGACTTTGTGCCCTACGAGAGGAAATATACATCTGAAATCTTCTGAAGTGTTTTACGTTACATTAGGAATAATTTATCATGGTTCCTATTTCGGTTGTTTTCTTTTGCCTTTCAGCTGGTTCATGCCCAAACTCTGCACAGTTTCATCCACCCACCCGCCTACTGCCTTTGAAGATTCTTCGATCTCGATTTGAAATTAATTAAAAGTAGTTCGGGAAGTAACGTTTCAGCTGTATAATATGCGCCGATTATTTTCACTGATTTCTCTCAGATGAGCTTTTTTCATGCTGAATTCGAAAGCGTATGGTATGTTAAAGGTTGTTTTTGAGACGGTGAATTATTTGGATGAGTAGTCAAATGGAAACATCGACAATAATAATTTTGACAGTGATAGAGTGGAATTACAATTGGGATCCATGCACTAAAAACTCGCTGGGGTATGTAAATTGCCGTCATTTTAACGTTATCTTCAGACAGGGTTTTGATCTGAATTAACCTTGAAAGTTTACGCTTGAGAAATTTGAACGAAAGAAAGGACCAAAGTAGAGAATGTTTTTCGTTTAACAAGGTTTTCGTTAGTAAAGCAACGGAAGTTGTGCGTTCAAGAATTCTCATTCAATTATACGAGGATGGAGTATAACGGAGAGCATAAACCGATCAATAGAGAAACAAAGAAAAAATACATATATAAACAAACAGTTTTTTGGCAGACAACAGTGACAAATAAATAATTTTCATAACGACAGCAATGTCATCTTTTACGTTTTCCAACCGGAAATGAGAAGCCATCTAAAAATTTCATTGTATTCATAAGATCTACATAATATTGTTGATTAACATTATTAATGTGACGTTGGATTGCAATTATTTCGGGATGTCCGGATTCTCGCAATTCTGGAATTTCTCTCATCTAACGAGAATTTGTTCCCATTCTCAAGAATCTCTCTAGTAACTTCTTTTCTCGCACGAGAATATCTCCCTTGTCTAACACGAATTTCTCTGCTTCCACGGGCACTTCTCTTCTCGCACGAGCATTTCTCTCTTCTCGAACAGGAATTTCTCCCTTGTCTAACAGGAATTTCTCTCTTTCCACAGGAACTTCTCTTCTCGCACGAGAATGTCTCTCTTGTCCAGCAGGATTTTTTCCCTTGTCCAACAGGAATTTCTCTCGTCCCATGAGAATTTCTTCCCTCTACAGGAATCTCTCGACTGATTAAAACACGAAAGTCAGGCTGCACGAGAAGTTTTGTCTTTCCACGGGAAATTCTCTTCTCGCACTAGAACTTGATTTATCTAAGCTTGAGGCGATTTGTTATATGATGGAAGAAATGTTTTTATGGTATACTCACACTCACATCCCGCCGCCGTGCTTCCCCCCCCCCTTGCGCCCAGGGAGCGTACAATTATGTGGAGTCTGGCGTGTCTTTGTATGTTTTATGTGTGTTAGTTACATCAAGTATTGCATGCGGTGGGTTTTGCTCATGATCAAGCCATGTCAGGAGATACTCAGTTAGGTTTGTATCACTCTTCAGTCCTGCAGTACTTGTTCTGAAAGTCTCTCGTCAGAACAATAATATAATTGTGGGGCACTGAAGACATTGTAGAATCGATGTATACTTCAAAAAGCGATCGCATCATGTTCTTGAAGAAAGAATCCTAAATTTTGGTTTATGTCAATGAATTCTACTATGCGTTATTAATTTCTCACGAAGATATAATCCCGTCAGAAAAATAAAAAATGAGTGTCCAGGTCCTAAATTGTGCTGAGTCGAAAATTCTTACTGGAATATATTTTTGTCAGAATTTAATAATGCACAGCAGAATTCAGTGACATACTCTGAATTTAAGGTTCTAAACTCTGGTGTTTACAACCGATCCCACTTTAACACGATATCTACAGCTCATGCCAGCACAATGCATTGCTGCGTTCTATTGGCATACTGAAAGAATGCATTTCATTCTAATGCTGCATTCATAGTGCATCGCACCACAATGGTAAGTATGACATGAGAAAAACATCCACTAGGTCAAAATTTTTTCCTCAATAAACCAGACTATCTTTTAATCTTCATGTTTTTATTTGTTTACTTAACAGACAACACAATTTAAATTTAAATATTTTGATTCGAAAAGAATTGATCCATTACTATTACAATCATCATCAGTCATTAAAGCTGTTCATTTGGTTGAAGGTTCAATTGAAAATCGAAATTTAAACGTTTATTATTCACATGTAGCCATACTAGAATTAAGATCAGTTAATATATTTGATAAACAACAATCTTTACAATATTCAGATCGAATCACAACTTTTTTATCTCAGTTAGCACAAGATCTTCGACTTCGTATTATTGCTTTAGTCAATGTCTACAGTCATTTCACAGGCGATTATTCTGTTGGTTCAACAGGCAAGGATAATGTCATTCAATACGATACACTTTATTTGTTCCAGACTAGACCAATAATTTGTGAATGTCCATATGTAAGATCTATTAAAATATACAGAGTCATCACGTCTTTTCATTGTTTGCATTGCATCGGGTATTGGTTCTCTCACACATGACCTAATAGACTAACTTTTCTCGAACAAGATCTGCCGCAATTTGCATACTCTGAAAACGTGAAGGTAAATCATCATCGGAGTTGATACAAATAACATCGGACAGTCGTCTCTTTTGCGTGTTTCTTCCTA